CAAGCACTCACCTTGACTGCGGCCAATGGTTCCACAATACGTAAATTTGGTACCAGGAACCTCACAGTCGATTTTAACCTATCTAAGGCAGTTGAGTGGCCATTCTTGATTGCTGAAGTCCCTTTCCCTATTCTTGGAATGGATTTCTTAGCACATCGCGGCCTCACTGTCGACACAGTCAAACGCCTGCTGCTTGACAGCACCAACTCTGTAAAAGGGTAAGCAACTGACGCAGTGGCAATAAGCCCCGTCTTAAACAACGGTCTGTATTTTGGGTTGCAACGTTTGTTAGAAGGTTGTCCTCAACCCGTTTCTACAATTTTGCCGCCGGTCACCACACAGGTTACCCATTCAATTGTCACACGCGGCCCACCCGTACCTTGCCGCGCACGTCGTTTGACTCCGGACAATTTGGCTTTAGCCAAACGGGAGTTCGACGTAATGCTTAAGGCCGGTATAATACGCCCATCGCAAAGCCAGTGAGCCTCGCCACTCCATATGGTGCCTAAGAAGGCCGTTGGGGAATGGTGCCCATGTGGGGATTATCGTGGACTTAATAGTTTCACCATCCCGGATCGCTATCCGATCCCACACATCCACGATATAACAGCTAGCCTAAGGGTAAGTCAATCTTAGTAAGATTGATTTGGTTAGGGCTTATAACCAAATACCTATCGACCCGGCGGATGTCCCTAAGACGGCTGTCATCACTCCGTTTGGCCTTTTCGAATTCCTCCGAACGCCGTTCGGACTACGCAACGCTGCACAGACGTTCCAACGTTTCATCGGTGAGGTTCTTCGCGGATTAGATTTCTTTTTTCCGTATTTAGACGACATACTTGTCGCCAACCAGGACGCCGCCGAACACGAAGTGCACTTACGCACACTTTGTCAACGTCTACAGCAACATGGTATTACCGTTAATGCCGCCAAGTACGAATTAGGTCGTGAGTCCTTAGTTTTTCTAGGTCACCATATTGATTGTCAATGATTCCGTCCGGTCGAGGACAAAATCGCAGCGATTCGCGATTTTCCTCCACCTAGGACGGCGACCGAACTACGTCGTTTCTTAGAGATGATCAACTACTATCGTAGGTTCATACCACAATTCGCCCAGGTAGTTCGTCCACTTACGGACTTACTCAGAGGAAACCCCAAGCTTATCGAATTGAATCCCTCAGCACGGCAGGTTTTTGATGCCATTAAATTAGCAGTCTCCAATACTGTTTTGTTGGCACATCAGGACCCTGATGCAAAGCTAAGTTTGGCAGTAGACGCGTCAGACATCGCGGCCGGTGCGGTCCTCCAACAAAGGAAGGACAATCCCTGGCAACCTTTAGGTTTCTACTCCCAACGGTTTTCAGGCGCAGCCACTAGGTACAGCACCTTCGGTCGAGAACTATTCGCCGCTTACCTGGCTGTTCGTCACTTTCGTCATTCATTAGAAGGTCGTGACTTCATCATCTCCACTGACCATAAGCCACTGACATACTC